TGGCCTGCAATGGCAGCCATGCTGCCCGCCGGGAACGCTTCGCCCAGCTGGCCACCGAGCTCCGGGAGCAGCTGGACACCCCCAAGATCATCAGCAGGGTGAGAGCTGGGCAGGTGGGGTGGGCTGGTGACAGTGGTGAGTCCTGGGCAGGGTTTACACTCACCTGGGAATGTTTTGGAAGGGGGACTCTGTTATGTGGCCTGGCCTCTCTTGGTTACCCCTTTCCCCAACATGAGCACCCCCTACCCTGCTCCATGTTGGGACCGCAGATGACTCCCCCTCTAGCACCCACTTGGACGCCGATGAGGTTAGGTGTCCCCAGCATCCCCCAAGGTGTCTCCGCACTGCCTGATAGCCATGGATGCACAGCAACGAGTCCAGGACCCTACCTGGGCACTGCTCCAACCTTTTAACAAGAAAGTGTCATTGCCACTGCATGGGGTCCCCATTTGTCCCCCTGTTCTGGTGAGCAGGACCCTGTTGCCCCAGCAATGAGTAACGCCTTGTCCACTTGTCCTTGCAGCTGAAGCTGGATGAGGTGAACAGCACGGCCGCCCAGCACCGCCTCCGCACCCTCCTTGAGGACCTGGTGGAGATGGAGAAGGTTCTCCGCGATGTGGACATCCTCTCAGCGCTGGCCAAGCTACTGCCCAGGGGAGCCTGTGCCAGCAAGGCCCCTCCACCCACTGCGAACAGCACCAGCTGGGCCAGTGCCAATGCCACGGCTGGGAACACCACAGCAGAGGAGGAGGAGAGTGCTGAGGGGAGCACTGCCGGCAGCGACAACCCCCAAGGGCAGTTCTCAGCATTCGTGCAGCTCTGGGCTGGGCTGCAGCCCATCCTCTGTGGCAACAACCGGTAGGAGTGCTGGGGGATGGCTCTGGATGCTCCCTGGTTAGGCCAGGGCTGTCACCCCTTGCTGAGCAGGCAGGATAAGTGCTGTGCTGCAGCCAGGGATGCTCCCTGTGCTGGGGAGCACTGCATGAGCATGGGAGTTGGTGTGAAGTCCCCTCACGGGCAGGGGTGGGGGCTGCCTACAGTGAGAGGTGCTGGGGTTGGAGCAGAGTGGACAGCCTGAGCCTGCTTTGCAGGACCATCGAGCCTGAGGCGCTGAAGCAGGGCAACATGAGCTCACTGGGCTTCACCAGCAAGGAGCAGCGGAACCTGGGCCTCCTTGTCCATCTGATGACCAGCAACCCCAAAATCCTGTATGCACCTGTGGGCACTGAAGTGGACAAGGTCATCCTGAAGGTGAGGGTATAGAGGCTGGGACCCCTGTCCTGCCTCTTCCACCAGCTCCACTCCACAGATTGGCTGAGCTGGGGGGAAGAGACTGACTGCCCTGGCCCTTGCTGGGGTAAGGATGCCCATGGGAGGTGGGCAGGTACCTCCAGGGCTACTAGCCATTCTGAAGAGCAGGAGGCCCCTGCCTCTGCCTGCTGTGTGACCTTCCCCACTGCCCACAGGCCAATGAGACCTTTGCCTTTGTGGGCAATGTCACCCACTATGCCAAGGCGTGGCTGAACATCTCCCCTGAGATCAGAGCCTACCTAGAGGAGGGCAGGCTGCAGAGGCGCATCCGCTGGCTTCAGCAGGTAGGACAGTGTGGTGGGAATCGAGCCTGCCTAGGATTTACTGCCCTGGCGGTGGAGGGGTGTCCTGCCCCCAGAGTACCCTGTGGCTTCTTCATGAGGTGCTCCTGGGTGCCCACCTTGCTCTTGTGGGGACAAGTCTGGATCCCTGCACAGGGTGCACACTGTCCCCCATCCCCAGGAGGAGCTTTGGGTCCTGCCTGTGTCCATGGGGAGGACACTGATGTGAGAGGCTGGGCATACCCCAACTTCTCCCTCTTTCTCAGTTTACTGCTGACCTCCACAAGCACCCAGAGGTCCTGAATGTCTCTGACAGTGATGTTCTCCACAACTTCCTCAATGGCAACTTCTCCCTGCCGAATGCCAGTGTCCTGCTCCAGCAGCTGGACACCATCGACAATGCTGCCTGTGGCTGGGTTCGCTTCATGGCCAAGGTGAGGTGGTGCCCACTTGTGGGAATGTGGAACCACGCACAGACAGGCTCTGTGGGGCTGAAAAGGGTTAGATCCACTCAGACCTCCTTAAGGCCGTGGGATGTGAGCCCTGGCAGAGGTGGTGGGTTCTGCAGTGTTGGAAGCTCTGGGATACGTGTGAAGGGTGGAGGTGCCCACACACTGTTGAGTTCAGGGGCTGGGGGGTGGCTCTGAGTGGCATGTGCTGTATTGTGTGCAGGGTTTGTGTTCTAGACCCATCTGGGGCTGTGGGGTCTCACTGGTCCTCCTTAAGGCCGTGGGATGTGAGCCCTGGCAGAGGTGGTGGGTTCTGCAGTGTTGGAAGCTCTGGGATACGTGTGAAGGGTGGAGGTGCCCACACACTGTTGAGTTCAGGGGCTGGGGGGTGGCTCTGAGTGGCATGTGCTGTATTGTGTGCAGGGTTTGTGTTCTAGACCCATCTGGGGCTGTGGGGTCTCACTGGTCTGCTGTGTCCAGAGCAGAGAAGGGCAATGGAGCCAGGGAAGGGTTTGGAGTAAGAGTCTGATGAGCAGTTGAGGGAGCTGGGGAGGCTCAGCCTGGAGACTAGGAGGCTCAGAGGGGACCTTCTCACTCTCTACGACTGCCTGAAAGGTCATAGCAGGTGAGGTCGGGCTCTGCTCCTAGGGAACTAGTGACAGGACAAGACGACACAACCTCGAGCTGTGCCAGGGGAGGTTTAGATTGGATATTAGGAAACATTTCTTCACTGAAATGGTGGTCAGGCATTGGCACAGCCTGCCCAGGGCAGTGGTACCATCCCTGTAAGTGTTCAAAAAACATGTGAATTTGGCACCTGGGGGACATGGTTTAGTGCTGGGCTTGACAGTGCTTGGGTTAATGGTTGGACTCAGTGATGTTAAGAGGACTTTTCCAACCTTAGTGATTCTCTGAATCACCCCAACCAGGTCAGCGTGGACATCTTCAAAGGCTTCCCCGATGAGGAGAGCATTGTCAACTACACACTGAACCAGGCCTACCAGGACAACGTCACTGTCTTTGCCAGTATGTCCCTGGGAACCAGCCACTTCGTAGGGGTCCCTGAAGCCATGTCCTCCTCCAGCTGTGCCCTGGAGCCACTGGCTTTGGGACGCAGCTCCTGTGGTGCATGCGTTGGGTGGGTGAGTGGGCCAAGCATCTCACAGTGCTCATCCCCTGCCCTGGGCCTAGTGCTGCTTGGTTCAGCATTCTGCTGCTGTCCTGGCTCTCCCACTGCCTGCTGTCCACATGCCCTCACATCCCAGGGCCATGCCCGCCATCCTTATCCATGGCAGCCCTCATGGAGCCTTTGACCAAGACAGACTGAAACCCTCCTCGTCCCTCCCCGTCTCTGTGGGCTGATGTGGCTGTTCCCTTGTGCACTCTTTGCCTCTCCTGCTGCCTGCAGGCGTCATCTTCCAGACCAACAGGGATGGCTCACTGCCCGCCCACGTCATGTACAAGATCCGGCAGAACTCCAGTTTCACGGAGAAGACCAATGAGATCCGTCGGGCGTACTGGCGGCCTGGCCCCAACACTGGCGGCCGCTTCTACTTCCTGTACGGCTTCGTCTGGATCCAAGGTGAGCGTCAGCACTCTGCCAGAGCTGCCCACATCCCTGGCCCCTGCCTGCTCAACCTGGCCTCTCCTCCTCTGCAGACATGATGGAGCGTGCCCTGATCAACACATTTGTTGGCCATGATGTGGTGGAGCCTGGCAACTATGTGCAGATGTTCCCATACCCATGTTATACCCGGGACGAGTGAGTAACACCCAGCTGCAGCACCTTGCTGCTTCCCCTTTGCAGGACAGGATACTTTAGCTAAGAAAAGGGGACAAGTTTGGGGGCCCTGAAAGAGACTGATGACATTGGAAATGATGAGCAACCAGTTAAGCCCAGTTCCTTGGACCCCGGGCTCAGGAAGTGGGGGAAGGTAAAGGGATGACATGTGGGTCTGTCAGTGGTTATGGATCGAAGTGGTCTGGAGGCAGCACCTCAAGAAGTCCTAGAGCCACCAGTGCTCCCAGGCAGGAGGGTGGAGAGGGCCCCATCCCCACCAGGGTGGGCAGGACCCTAGGCCAAGCAGGCAGCTGCTACCTGGGCCTGCAAGTCAGCACAGTGGATTGTCCACTCTGCTCACTGGAGAAGCTCTTTCAGGCACTAAGGAGTTGCTGGGTTGGAGGCTGGTTGTCCCTGAGCAGTGGGAGAGCCCCTCCTTGGCCCTGTGCCCCATGGTCTCACTGAGTCTGCAGCAGTGCCACCATCCAGCTCTCCCTTCACTTTCTCTCCCCCACTAGCTTCCTCTTTGTCATCGAGCACATGATGCCCCTGTGCATGGTGATCTCCTGGGTCTACTCAGTGGCCATGATGATCCAGCACATCGTGACAGAGAAGGAGCATCGCCTGAAAGAGGTTAGGATGGTGGGAGAGATCCCTATGGAGGAGTGGGCATATCTGAGCTCTGCATTCTGCACAGTGTCCTTGGGCATCTTCCCCGTTTCTCTGGGTCACATGAGCTGGGGCAGATGC